AGCGGATGTAAACTCTGGCTTCAGCTCTGTGTTCGTGCCTGTCTGGTAGTACGACCACATGCAGTTCAGGTTTGTATTTAAAGCGATATGGAAATATGGAAATGTTCGTGGGTCCAGCGCAGGTCTAAAAGGGACGTTAAACACAACCTATGCAAATGAACTGTAAGACAGTTTGAACATAGAACAACTCAGGATGAAGGACTAAACTTAATCTGTTAGTCACACGACTGTCAGTAGAACCTGAACCTTCCCCGATGGGTCTGTTCTGGACACGTGAACACTTTTCTTCTTTATTGAGCCTCCAGTCGCCATGTCTGCATATTATGGGAAGGATGACGGATTAATACAACATAAAGGCCGTTGGTGACAATGAAAACATCACAGCTATGGCAAGATAACAAAATAATGGTTCTTCAAGCTAAACTTACAATAAACACACGGAGGTTATCTGATTGGTCAACACACAGGTCTGTGATTGGGTAACGTGCTGTCAGCTCTCTGGTTTGTTTACAGAGACACCAGACTGCTGAGCTGTGATGTGGGACTACACTGAACTCCATTTGCTCATTTTCTGGTCTTAATATGTGAAGACTTGAACAGAAGAAGCTGCTTCAGCGCAGCAGCTTTGTGCTCATTAGTGATCAAATGGTTTTATAATTCTGCTAATTCAACCTCTAAGTTAGAACCAGGAGGAGAATCTCACTCACAAGTTATGATATCTTTATAAGACAATTAAGGACAAAAAGCTTGAAACAAGTGAATTTGTTTAAATAAAACTTTTTTAAAGGACTACGTGCCGGCCTGTTTGCTTGCTCGCAATTTAACTAAGCTGAGCGATGCTAAGCTAATTTCCTCCAGCTTCTGGCTGTAGCCTTTATTGGACAGATTCAATATTCTTATTTTCAGTAACTGTTTGAAAGATACCCAGTAGGATCATGTGGGTCAGTGCTGTGAGCAGTGAGGCCATGCCACTGGTCTGATCACTGGAAAACCACTGAGATGTTTCATTGAAGCGAAGCTGAGTTCATGTGCCTCGTACCATAATATCATGACTTGACAGTGATCTTTACTGCCTCAGGTGTTTGTAGACAGAAGCTACGTTGGTCTCTTCAAGCGGCAGAGCCTGGAGCTGGCGGTTCCTGACGGTAAGGTATGGCATCACGCTGAGAAGCAGTTCACCTGCTTTGTTGAATGTGATGGATGCTGCAGTGTCGCTTGTTTTGCTGTTGAAATTATCATAAGACATGAAAGTGATCCATCCCTCCAGGGACGTCGTACCTTGAGTTTATTGGTGGAGAACTGCGGCCGAGTCCACCGGGGAAGGGACCTTGACAAACAGCATAAAGGTGATGGAGAGAGTAACGTGCAGTTCATCGCTATGCCTGCTATTAAATCACTGAACCACTCAGTGGGTTGAGCATAACCCAATTTTGATTTGTGTTCTTGCAGGACTAGTGGGAGACATTTTATTAAACAACATCCCCTTGCGGGATTTTACAGTGTACAGCCTGGATATGAAACCCAGCTTTATTGACAGGTTTGTGCTCTTTATTGAATACAACGCGCTGCATTTCACTTTCATTTGTCTGTAATAGTATTTTTGAAGCAACGGTTTTTTTTTTCAGTCTTTATCAGGCACCTTGGAAAACTCTCTCTGAAGCTCCCAGCTTTCCTGGATTTTTCATGGGGAGGCTGTTCGTGTACGGATACCCCAGCGACACGTTTGTGAAGATGCCAGTAAGTAAAATTAAACACATGCAGTCGTGTGAATGTGGTGGAAATCGTTACCTTTTTCAATAAATCTAGACAAGAAACAACACACGATCCTCTTTGAAACAGTGCCTATTAAAAAGTATGATCCCACAACAAATGACACATAAAACTGACATTTTTCCAATTTAAATAAATAAAAAACTGATCAGTTACATTTAAAGTGAGCACAGTTACTGTACCAGTGAAATCAGGGGTTTCACACTCGGTGCCAAACAGTGACAGCAGTTTGTGTGTGTGCTGCCATCATGCCAAGATGGAAATCGTCCTCTGAGGTCTTTGGGAAAAAGGTTGCGGATGTCTACAGGATTTAAAAAAGATCCTTTAATGATTTGAAATAAATCAGTCCACTGTGCGGAAAATCGTGTTGAAGTGTCATAAATTTCAAACCTGTGCCAATTAGCCCAGAACCGGCCCGTTATCAAATCCAACTGCAGAGCATTTGATGTAAAAAGACACGTCCAGACCCCCGGATTCCCTTTCAAGGACCTGCAGGTAACTCCTGCATCTGCTGGTGTCAAAGTTCTGCATCCACAGTCAGAGTCTGCACAGATTTGACCTGTTTGGGAGGAACACCAGGAGGAGAACATCAGAACTGCAGCTTGCCAGTGACCATGCAGGCAAAGAGCAGGTCTTCAGGAGGAGGAGCTCGAGACAGACACTCAAAGAAAAGCTGGTTTGGCCAAAAACCGCTTTTCAGAAGAACCTCAGATCCAGCTGTGAAGCTTGGTGGTGGAAATGTTCTGCCCACTGACTCAGCTTTGAATCCTGCCTGATATCAAAGAGGCCCTGAAGATAAGGTGAGCTCATCTGTTCAAAGGTAAGGTGGTACCGACGAGTGGACGCTTCAACAGGATGATCATCTGAACAGCAGCAAAATCACAGAGTGGCTCAGCGAGAAGAAGTACAGGCCTAACCCTTACCCTAACCCTAAAGATCTAGGTGAAGCCCAGGTTGAAACAGGGCAGAACGTGTCAGAAAAGCCTCAGACATCTTCCAGCTACAGGAAATGAGGGTTACAGGGAATCTACACTGGGTCCAATAGTTCTGTTCAATAAATGAGAACAAAGCTGGTTCCCTTGTGGTGTTCTCATCTGTAGGCACTCTGTCAAAGAGAATCAAATGTTTGCTCGTCCAGATATGACAAAAAATCAAACAATTCCCACAAATCTTTATTTTATTTGTACATAATTAATGTTCTATGCTGTGTGTGTTTTTGCTAATGTCTCTGTGTGAGAAATGCTTCATGTAAGGATGTGACCGGTCCACAGGGCTGGGAGAAAGGTGTTGTGTTCATCAACGGGCTGAATCTGGGCCGCTATTGGTCTATTGGCCCCCAGCAGACGCTCTACCTGCCTGGTCCTTTCATAAACAGTGGAATCAACCAGGTACAGCCTGTCAGAGGAACACCTTCATGTGCTGGAAGATGTTCTGAGTTCAATCACTGCCTTTCTGTGCTACTGGTAGCTTAGCCATGGGCTGCATATTAAAGATGGATTCTGGCTGTAAAAAGAAGCCGATGAGGAAATGACCCTAGTTTCCACTTGATCTGTTCCCTCAGTGGACATGTTCCTAGTGAGTTAGGATCTCTAGTTTTCAATTTATTACAGCATGATGGGGATTTAATGAAACATGGTCCTGTTTAGAGTAAACAGATAATAAACTGTGCTATGTTTCAGGGCGGGGCTACCTTGTACCGTAATGTCTGGACTATTGAGCCCACCTGAATATAAGCTCCACCCACTGACTCTAAACAGGAAACCAGGTGTGTTCATATCCAGGCTGCAGGTGTCTCTAAGCTGCAGGTGTCCACGTTGAGATATTTACACAGAAAGATGTTTTAACCTTTAGTTAAATGCGTAGCGGTAACATCCACAGATACGTACCGTAGAGGCTTTTTTCTGAACACTTCCTGTAACACGGCTGGTTAAGGAAATAAAACTCCAGCAGCTACCAGGAAAAGTCACTGATGGCTATCTTCATCTTCCTCCTGCACTAAAACCACTAAAGTCGTCTTCTTCAGTGTCTTCAGGAGTCTCATACATCCATCTTTTATGTACAGTCTGTGAGCTTAATGAAGTCTGTATTCGTTATGCTGATGCTGCTGCTCTATAGATTCATAATAAGTCCTTTATAAGTTTTTTCTCAGCATGTTAACAGACTTAGGGCATTAATTCTACATCTACAGTGTGAACACACAGCAAGACAGAGTCAACTCTGATATTCACTCTGCTCTCACCAATCAGGTCATTGTGTTTGAGGAGCAGGAGGGAGACTACAAGGTCCAGTTTGAGGACACGCCCGACCTCGGAATGGCAGCAGACGTCCAGTGACTGAACTTTGTGGGAAACTGTTGTATGAAAATGTGCCTTTTTGTACAAAGTACTCTTGACATGAGGTCAAATTCAGATCCAAGGATCCCAACGTTGTTATCAGCCGTGCTCTAGCATTCTGCAGACACACCTCACACATCAACAACCAATCAGAGGCAGAGGCATGACTGTATGGGAGCAGTTTATGTCCATGTACATACAGTACCTTTAGTTACACTGAACCTGTACACATAGAGCAGAAACATCAAGCACATCTTCTTCTCTGTGGATTCCCACTGACAGAGGAATGATTTCTGTCTGTGGACCACAGCTATAGTCACACTGTTGGGTTTGTATTGCTTGTGTGAGTGTTCTGGTGTCATGTAGCAGTTACTGAATGGATGCATCTTAACAAACAAACAACAGCTTTATGAGACAATAGGAGGCAGAAGTGATGCAAAGAGCTTTCAAGTGAAACCCAAGCAGCGTTGTAGCAACATCAGACCCTTGTTCTGAAGTGAAAGTTCAAGGTTTCAGCAGCCTGTCACATTAACAACTGACCAAACTCTTCCAAGCCGCAGAGTCGGAGAGAACATTTGCATTTAAAAGCGGTGCCACTGCAAGTCAATGGGGTATGAAATCATCACTTGCAAGTCATCCATCCATGGTGGGAATAATTAGAATGTGTAACACAGCTAAAAGAAAGGATGCACATAATGGCTTCATATTCCACTGATTCTTACATGTATAGTTCACAGCTAACAAGCCAATGGTACCAGTTCCTCTGAAACAATAAATAAATCACAATAAACCTTCAGTTCACTTCATTAGCTTATCAGGAAACCTGTGCAGTGGACAGACTGCGAGCTACACTCAGTCCTCTCCTACATGTGAGAAGTAATGTTACAGCATCTCAGGACTAAAGCAGAGCTGCAGTGAATGAGTGTGAGGGAGGACGTTGCTGTTACGCTATAATAAATGGCTGCTCTGTGTTTTGTGTGTCTCTGTGCAGCGTGACAGCTGAGTGTGTGTGAATGTGTGTTGAGGAGTAACAGGACTCCTAATTAGTGCTGGGTTCAGGGTGCTATCTAAATAGCTCAGTGTTGTACAGTACGAGTGGGGAGGGCTCAGATCCCATCAGTGCTGTCTGTCAGTCAGTGCTGACTCACTTCAAACAAGGACTTCTTTTATTCCTCTGTGCAGCCTTGTGCCCGACAGCCAGCGTGCCTCAGAACAAAAGGGCCCTACTTAATGCTGATTGGATGGCTGGCTGGTGTTGTCTGCGCTGACAGGGCTCTTTATTGCTTGCCGTACCATCTCTTCCTGCAGTTTAAGTCGCGTAACATCCTTTGTCTCGGCTCTCCGAGGAGACCTCAGTGGGCAAGCTCCTTTTGGCAGCTCCTGCGAGTGTGGGCCAGCGCTCCGGGCAGAACCGGCCACGTTGTTTCTGTGCAGTTGTGCTTTTGTACTGGTCGGTGGTCGGTGCACGCACATGGCTTCATGGAGTGGACAGTGTGCCTCCATTTCTAAGCTATGGTAATATTTCCTTTGCTTTGAGAAGCTCCGAGGTTGATTTAAATCCAGGAAGAATCCAGTCAAGAAACTCCTCCTGAAACAACAAGAGCACACGTAATTAGAACGAACAAAGAAACAGGAAGAGCAGCCAGCAGCCGGAGACCAGTGAGCTCATGCTGACGCCATGTGGTGTTGGAGGAATCAGTCTCTAGTTTCCTACTTAACATGAACATGAGCGTTGTGTCATAACTACAACTGGAAAACTAGTTTTTTATTTTTGACTTGACACAACACAAGCATGGACGTCTCACATCTGCCAAAGCTGGAGCGTCTAAGTAAACCCAGATGTAAAGGACATGGCATCGTTTGTCAGTGAACAGGTTACCAGTGTTGTGTCATAATTCAGCTGTTTCATTATTATTCGTCATTGTGTGGAGAAACACTGAGAGCGACTATCATGGGGGCTCCAGCCTTCTACTGAGAGCTGCTGATCAGGCATCAACTCCACAAACAATAATGATGTCTGAGCCAATAAGGTATAAAAAACAGTGAATGAGCGTCCTCGACACCATCAGGACCGTCAGAGGTGCGACTGACAGAACAAGTCAGACACATCTCAGGCAGAGCTGTGTTAAAGCTGCTGATGAAAAATGCTTGACTTTATTTAGACTCAGTACATTTCTCTTGTCCTCTAGACCTTTTTTAAGACCTTCTCTCCAGAACTGAACTTGTGCTGCTCCTGGGAGAGCTCAGGTCACCTCTGTGGGAGCCCCTCTGGCTCCTCCGTTGTTTTAATGTCAGTTCAGCATGCTGTAGATGTTTTGCAGGACTTTGGTCACACACCAGAATATCTGAACATTTTCATTTTGACCTGGTGTAGGACACGTGGCCATGCAGGATGATCTCACAGGCGGGTCTATTGTATTCCCATATGCTCACTTGGTTCTATGTTTTGAAGATGCCACAAAAACATGGAAAAGGAAAAGCAATAGAAGGCACACAGACATACAAGGAGATGGACCCCAGCTAGCATCAGCTCCTCGTTCAAGGTGTGAGATTGAGCTAAACATATGAAGACTGAGCTAAACAGCTTACAGAGAAGCAACAAGACAGACTTCATACTGTTAAGCGCAAGTTAAGCAAAATTGCCAGATGTGAAAGAAGTGGAGGGCAGATATGAAGGAGCAGAGCACCACAGAGTTGCTCCACCAGCCTCTGCACATCTGAGAGAAGCTGACAGACTTTGAAGCCTGCTCATGAACAAACAGGACGCATTGCTTTCCATAGAATCCCTTAAGAAGGAGGCAGCACAAGCTCAGATGACTTAACTGAATAAACCAATAGCCCAGTTTATTTTTGCCTTATTTATGCAGCATCAAGAGAAAGAGAGACTTTCACTTGAACAGAAAAAGAGTGCTTTCAGGACGACCCTGTGAACCTCCAGAGGAGACATACAGCTCTATCAGCAAGTGGCCATCCCACCACCTATCACAGCACAGCAGACAGGATGGAGAGGTGAAGAAGAAGAAGAGGCTCATCACAGAACGCAACGGAAATGACAGCAGTCCTGCTTTGGTGCTCATGGAGACGCTGAAGACAATCTCCTGGGAGACTTCAGGGAATCTGCTGTGACAAAAGAGACTCCATCTGACGTCTCCTCGGGGTAAGAGACGTCTCAATTACCTCCTTAGTGCGACTACTAAGACACACTAATTACAAACTAACTGAACAACCACCGTACGCCAGTGAGAAGGATTGTAAATGTGTTGACTCTCAGTTCCATGACCTGGGTTGTTAGGAGGCCCCAAAAAACAAACAACAGACCTTTAAGTCTAGAAAATTAAAAACATTTCCCTAAATGAGAATTATATGCTCGTTACAGAGATCAGTGTTCACATGAACTATGAGGCTTGTATGATCCTGATGTTCCTGCTCTGTGCTGCAGGCCACACTTCCATGAGAGTGATGGGGTCACTTTGGGGCTGTAACGAGGAGATGCTGACTGCATCTGATGGTAAACGCTTCAGTGACAATCTAGAATAATAAAGTTCAAACAGAGAGGCAGCATACGACAGAAGCTCATCTTGTGTATCTGAACGTGTAACACTTGGAAGCTAAGGAAGTAGAAATATGTTTTACTTGTTTTAAAGAACATCTCTCCTCACAAATGTTAACAGGAAGGAGCTTTATGTCCTCGTGAAAAAGTCTGGATTCAAGGGTTAGAGAGCTAAAAAACACAACCAAATAAAATACCCCGTTACCCCGATGTGATGGACAACAGTCCTTTAAAATAGTAGAATTATTCATCTGTTTCTCTGTATTTCTAAATTGAGCATTTGGAGTAAAATAAAATGGTAACACAGCGATCAGCCACAACATTAAAACCACCTCATGGCTTCCTCATGCACACACCTCTGCAGGTGTCCTGAGGTACCAGGCAGGAAGACGTCAGCAGCAGATGAGTCAAGTCCTACAAGGCCTCCATGGATCAGACTTGTTTTTCCAGCTCATCCCACAGACATTCGATAGACTGAGATCTGGAAAGCTGGAGGTGAAATCAACACCTTGAACTCTTTGCCATGTTAAGATATTTCTGAACATGTTTGCAGCATTATTCTGCTGAACGGGGCCACTGCCATCAGGGAAGGCCATGAAGGGTGTAGATGATCTGCAGCAGTGTTGAAGGAGCTGCTTCAAGGCGCCCAAGGTTTCCACTCCCTCACCTGGCTTGTCTTCTTCTCATAGCTCATCCTGCTGCTGTCTCTTTCTCTTGCATCACATGGATAACCCTAACCTAACCCCACGTGATGTAAAAGAAGATGAGATTTATCAGATCAGGCCACCTTCTCTCCTGATCTGCTTCTCACAGGTCTGTGTCCATCGAAGCTGCTCTCAGTGGTGAACAAGGTCAACATGAGCACTCAGCAGGCTGCCATGTTCTCCATGTTCCCACAGCTTTCTATCACAACAGCATCAAGACTTTCAGCAGTTAGAGCTCCAGCAGCTCGTCTGTGGGACCAGACCATACAGGCCAACCTTCCACATGAGCCTTTAGTGCCCATGACCCTGTTCTGGTCTCCTCCTCGTGGACCACTGGTCCAATACTAACCACTGCACACCCAGAACACCTCACATGACCTCACATCTTGGATGTGCTCTGATCTAGTCACCTAGCCATCACAAATGACCTCCTGTCCGGTCTCTCAGATCCATACGCTGCTCGTTTCCCTGCTTCCAACACATCCAACAGACTGCTCACTTGCTGTCTGATCCATCCCAGCTCCTGACAGCTGCCAGCGTAGCTACATAATCAGAGTTATTCAGCTCACCTGCCAGAGGTTCTGATGTTCTGGCTGACCAGTGCGTATCCATGTGTTGTTTTCAGAATCAGTTGATCCAGAACAGAGATGGCACCATGAATGTCACAGGAAACAGAATAAGATGAGTCCCCTAACACGTACTGGACTGCTGTGTCTTTTTTTAGTCCCTGCCCAAAGAGATCCTGATAAAACTGTTTAATGAATGAAGCTAATGTTTTCCAGACTTGTGTGAAAGGACCAGCCCCAGGGTACAACTTAGAAATACTACTGTGGCTTAAAAAAAGGGTAACTTCCCTCCATGCCTGGAGGAACATGAGAAAGCAGCACAATTACAACAGTTATTCTGCTGGAGCAACGATGAGCGCATTCATGTTCCACTTAAAACAACAAAGACACATGTTATATAAAGGTCAGAGCTTCGCTTCAAGTCAGGGAATATCTGGTGGTGCACACATAAGCCCAGATGCTTCCCCTTTGGTCTGGCCCCCAAAGTAATCACTGTGTGGAAATGCACTCATTTGCATTTCTAAATCTCTGCTGTTACCTGTGTCAGATGAAGTATGTCATATCTCTACGTTGGAGTCTGTAAATCCTTTCTTGCCCTCATTTACCAGCACAGGCTTCTCCGTCCGTGTGTGCCATACTAATACCTGCATGGACGAGCAGAAACAGTCACTGAAATGCAGTGTTCATATTTTACATCATACGTGCTGCACAGTGTCTAGAGGCAGAACATAGCATATTTTAAATGGGCTGTAGGCTTAAAGGGTTGGCTATAAGCTGACAGTTTACTGACTTTAAGAACAAATTGTTATGACAAGGAAAGATCCCAGGACTCATCTTCTTACACTCGCTTGTTTCGCTGCCAAGTCACTGGGCTTTCACAACACTTTAAAATGCACAGAGCCTCCTTGTTCCTACCTTGGTGCAGTTAGCAGCTTTAGGCTCCAAGTCACTCAGAGTGACCAGCTCCTTCAACAAGCTGCTCTCCTGGTATCCTCCCTTCACCCCACGTAGCTTGAAATAAGCCTGAGGTTTGGACAGAATGAGGCGCAGGTTCACTGCAAAGCCAGCCATGTCGATAGCAAAGGGCCGGTGTGGGTCGAACACAGTCTTCCAGCCGTACACCTTGCCCAAGGTGTTCACTTTAGGGGACTCATAGCGTAGGCCACCCACAAAGGCCACGGGCCACACCGACACTCGTTTAGTGGAACGCATCTGGTGGTGGAAACAGAGACAAAGAAGCACATCACTTAGTGAGTCATAATGGATCTAAAGGTGGATCTAGCCAGGAGTGATATACGTCCTCACCTCCTCAAACAGCTCCAGACTGTACGTGTTGTCGTCATCTGCAAAGTAGACGATCCCCGGCTGGCTGCTGTTTACACTGAAGGTCTCTCGGAGCCACCGCAGGGCCAGGTTCCTCTGTATGGTGCCTCGTGGTATTCTCGGGTCCCGGGTGTCTCCCCGTACCTTGTAGTTCCTGGGTGTCTCCACGTTGAGGTGGGTGTAGTTGAGCCCTGTGTCCTGGAGCAGGCGGCTGACCAGAGTGGTCCTCCTCTGGGAGTCCTCCACCAGGATCCAGTGCAGGTTGGACACATGGAGCAGAGTGTTGGCCAGACGTGTCAGCTCTGCCTTCTGCACCGGGCGGCTGTAGGTGGGAGTGATGATGTGGATGGTGGGCAGGACGTCGGACCAGGGCGGGGGCCGGCTGTAGACGTACTCAGTGCGCACGACCTCCACGATGTCCCGGTTCTGTAGGGAGCAGGAGTCCTTGAAAGCGAAGGTGTTCCTGGAGTTGGAGTGACCATCACGTCTGTCATCTAGCCGGGAAGGAACACGATCACAATGAGCTTCTGTGTGCTGTCAGATGGAACATTCAGTTTCTGCCTCTTCCTGATCATTTACTACATCAAATGAGACTGAGTGGACTCTTTGATTGGATGCTAAGCTGGTGTCATATCAGTAGACAGACATCATTTCCTAACATGTGACCTCCCCCCTCGGGTTACAATTCACTGTGAGCAACACAAGCTCCTTTGTTGAGATGATTAAAAAGAAGAAAGTTTATTCTATCTGAAAACACCAACACAGATGTTTTTTCACCCTTTCGAGCAGTGAGCAGAGGAGTGATGGTGCTCTGGTGCCAAACGGTGATGAGCAGCGTCCACGGCAACACAATCAACACGATGGCGACGATGTCTCGTCTCTTCGGCATCTCCAGGGTCAGACCTGAGTCATGTCACTACCTGCGGGGCACAGAACACATGACGTGGTCATAAGAACCAGGGAGGTGGGACATGAGATGTCTGAACCTTTCTACTGACCTCCTGCTGAGCTCAGAGAACCAATGAAGTGCTTTTTGAGAAAAAATATTTTAAACTTCTATTTCTGCAGACACGTGTACGTTAGCGTTTCTTCTACATGTATTGAGTTAAATAGAAAACATTTTGAGGAATGTTATTTGTTCTAGCATTTATAAATGATACATAAAGCTGACTGGCTTCACATGTGTAATGAATGGAGTTCTGTGTAATTGGGTTTAAAGGGCCTTACACCAGACTCCACTTCGATTGGTCATTGCTAAAGGAGACATTAGCTGCTTTTACAGTTATATTTAGCATTCTCTCTTTAGCCTGTGAATGGATGAGCCGCTTCGCTGAGTCTCTACAGCTAATGGCCCTGAACGTGAATTCCATTTTGAAGTCCATACACCAACAGTCTCTGGCTGCAAGGCACAACTACAAGGAAGGAGGCATTTTGTTCAGCTGCAGCCTGCTGGAGCTGCTGCACAACAGAATATAGGTCAGAAACCGCTTCCAGCTTTCTTTTTTCATCTCGTTTGAAAGCATACTGGTGTACTACAGAGAACAATTGAGCTAATGATTTGAAGAGGCTGAAAGGGTCAGACCTCCTCCTGCCTGTAAACACTGGACACAGACCTGATGTATTCAGTCTTTTTCAAGTTTAGCTAAATATGAAAGTGCAAATAAGAACTGGTGCAACTAAGAAGGTCTTCATGCTTATAAATTATACATCCTATTCACAGTGCCCTTTATTCACACTGGTGGCAAACAGAGAGGCATTTTTATTGATTATCAGGATAGACATGTCCAATTAATACAGCAAATCATTCATCGTGCTTGCATATCGTCTTCATATCTTAAACTCAGTAGATGTATTTCCACTGCGTGTCCCAAACATGTCGCCGTGCTTCAGTCTCCAGCTGCTTCTGTACAGGTGTGACCGATAAACAAGACTACGAATGTTTTATATAACATCCTAAATCTGAACACAGAAACACAGGACTCTCCAGATGATGATGATGATGATGATGATGACGATGATGATGATGATGATGACGATGACGATGACGATGACGATGATGATGATGATGGGCTTTATGCCATCACCACCAGTCTGAATCCTTCCAGCTTCTGCTAAATCTTGCTTCTCCATCGTTTTGGCATGTCGGATACGACAACATCCATGAGTCTTGGGTACCGTTGCTATGGAGAAGAAGCCAGTCAGAGGCATGAATTGTTCCTCAGCTGCTGGTTCTATCAGTTCTGTCAGAATTTTAAAAAGAGCTGCTTTAGGCTGTAGATTGTATTTTCAGCTTTCTGTCAGCGGCTTACATGACAGAATGTAAGAGAAGCTCAGATAAATGCAACTTGGGAGTACAAGTAAACCTTTCCTAAGAAGATTTTGCGTACACAAGCTGGTACCTTTAGGTTTTATTACAGATTGCGATGTCATTTTGTGATGACTGATCATGTTCATACAGACTGAGAGGTGCTGCAGCTGTGAGTGATGGAGCGTCTTCTGTCGTCTTACTGTGTCGGTGCTGGAGAGCAGTGTGGCTGCACTGACAGTCTGTAGTGGAAAATAAATCAGGTTGGCTTGTTTGTTTTAGTGAAAACCAATCACAGCTGTCTTGGGCAGTGCACAGCCCGGGATGCAGTGACTGTGCCCCTGCAGAACATCGAGGGAACGGTGGCGGAGCGTTTGCACACAGGGAGGTGAGGACTGTCAACAGAACAGCGATTAACCAACAGAACCAAGCAGGCTTGTCTTATGGCATGAAACAAAACCTCAGCAAAACTTTCCATTCTCAGTGCGTAGGCGGCTGCTTGGAGGTTGTTGTTGTTGTTTCCCGTAGCGAAGGGGATTTGGATAACAGCAACACACAGACAGTGGAAGAGGAGAAAGCTGCGTGAAATGTGTGGCGGGAATGGCAGGCTGATACCCACAGCAGACATCTGGAGGGTCACAGCACATCTACTGTGGGAAACATGGAGGAGACTTATTTCCAAAAGAAGCAGGATCCAGAGCAGCTCCTCCCAGTTCACAGCATTCATTTACTGCATGAGCTACTGCAGTGTGTCATCATGCTATCTCAGCGTTGTCCTACCAGGCCTTTCATCTGTGTGTGCTGAACACACTCCCGCTATGAGCTGAGCCATTGTTTTATATGGTATGTGATATACAGCATGCTACAGACCAGAGGCTGTGGCTCAGGAGCGACTGCTGGTTAGATAAAGGCTTGTAGGTCCATCCTCAGCTCCTCTTGTCTGCATGTTGAAGAGTCCACACAATGCCATCTGTGTGTGTGTGTGTGTGTGTGTGTGTGTGTTCACGTCCATTCATGTCCCACCTATGTTTAGAGTGAACACACATGGCCGTTCCAACACCTGGTGCTGCTCTGCTCCGGCCCAGTGGACCACAGGGTCAGATCAGCTGTTTATCCTGCACAGAGGAAACATATGAAGGATGAAAATCAGTCTGACAGCAGAGTCATGCATGTGTGCCACATGATGTTGCTTTCTGGTCATGTGACCTGCGTGACCGCCTGCTCAGTGTTTGACGGAGGTCACCTGATCACTAGTCTCTGATTGGGTCCCTCTAGACGTCCACATGTGGGGTTCATTATCCAACATGAAGCCATAAACAAGTGTGTCATCAGCACACTTTGTGTAAGTCTGGAGTGAATCTCCACCAGAAGCTACTGGGTTTACTGGTGCTGCTGATGTTTGTGCTGGACAGAGAGCACAAACAGAGAAACGGTGATCGCAGACACACCACAGTCTGTATGAGTGTTTCATGTTCATGCAGATCCATTTGGTTCGCTGCTTTCTGCAGCCTTCAGTGTGCACCTCAGATACCAGTGATCCCAGCAGCCAGCCGCTCTGTCTGCTTTCATTTCCCTTCTCTTCAGGCCTCGCTTCACGAGACGGATCCTCTGCTGGTTAATCACACGTCTTTAGACATAATTAATCCTTGATTAAAAAGGATTATCCCCAGTCTGAGATCAAAGGTTGTGCTAGCTAATTAACACATCAGGATAGCTTTAATAGGGTCATGTTTGAACAGCATGTCATTGATATAGACAAGATAATTATCTATGCACATCAGGATGAAAAGCTGCGGCTCCTCGTCACCATTTTGCGTCCCCATTTAAAGCTGAATTAAAGTCACGGCTGTAAACAACCGCAGATGTGAGATTATAGTTTAACCTGAGGAAAAAATAAAGAGAAATCATTTCTACGCATATGAAAAATGAGTTAATTGGAAAATGTTTTGCTGAAAAAGGAGACATTTTAAATACGCTGATGATGTTTAGTGTTATCCTCTGAACACATTAGAAGGACAAATCTGGCTCCACATGAACAAGGACTCGTGGCAGTTTATCACAAATCAGATACGCCTGCAAGAAACCAGTTAATGAAACAAACCAGTAAATCCAGTATATGTCCTTGATCTCCTGCAAGTTCAGAGAGTCCTGAAAGAAACGTGTAGGACAAGTGTTCAAAACCAAACTGTGTGCTTGAATGTGGAGGACCTGCTGCATACGAATAGTGCTGCAACAAAACGAGTAAAGGGAAAGAAAGTAGTACACGCCACAGTTCAGGAGTCAGCAGCAAAATGTAAAGTTCATTCAGCATCAGCAGCTAATTAGTGGGTTTTTTCAACAAGCCTCTAACTGTGAAGACGCATCAGCCTGCTGAGTCTTCTACAGACAGTCTGCTCACGACCAGCCAAACAAATGGGAATGAAAAGCAAACCCTCTGCATGGAGGTAGCTAATGATGAAAATGAAAGCGCTAACGAGGCTGTCCTCCTGACAGATGTGCTGCAGTAAAACACAGCCATCCCTGTCAGTCAGCTGAAGGTGCAGCTCGTCTCTGAGGACCATCAGGCCGTCTGGACGTCCGCCGGGCAGCTCACACTCACATCCACTCACTTGGCTGTGTGTGCATTCAGAGGGACTGTCTGATAGCTTCTACAACCCTGTAGACACCAGGATGTCATCTCAACAAGAATCCGCCCGCGATGCCACGACAGAGTTCATTAAGCAGGACTTTAGGCAGCAGCTGGTGTCAAATATGAGATTACAGGCAATGTGCTGCCTTCAGCGACACACCTGATCCTCTGTGTTTCTACAGCGACAGGTGAAGCTCCACGGTGGAGACGAGACAACACAGCAACACTCACATGATGCCTGAGCCTCATTCTGGTCTGTATGCAGCCATTAGTCTGGTCTCCAGCCAGCACTCTCTGTTTGCTGTATTTTTAGCTTTATTTATTTTTTGCCTACAACATTAATTCAGTAATTTATATTTAAACTATTTATAATTAAAATAAAACAGCTGTGGGTGTCTGGTGGCCTGGTAAAGGCCACATAGAGCTCACACTGTGGCTGCAGAGGTCCTGGTTTCTGCGGCGGGCGGACCTTTGCTGCCCGTCATGCCTCCGTCTCTCTGCACTAGTAACAGTCAGATGAAGACAGAAATAAAAACTCATCTAAAATTATTTTCAAAAACCTGCACCTGTGCTGTTTTTCTGTGCACAGTCCTGTTTGTGCTGCCTTATGAGATGATAGCAGAGCTCTGTAGCGCCATCAGCCTGGTGACGAGCTGCTGATTCAAACATGACTCGCTGCTACAAGTGAAGGCAACACAGAGCAAATAGTTCAACCAGTAGAGGAGAGGAACTGAGTGGAACAGCTGGATTACACATCGCCAACAAAGAAACACATGAGTCGTGGATATTAGCTGTCGTTGTTGGTAACGGTGTGCGGCTTTCATCTGCCGCTACCTGCAGCGTGGACGACGACCAGTACCAGTACCAGTACCAGTACCAACATGTTCTGTGGCACAAGGAGAAGGGCAGAAGAACCGAGGTCACGCTAACAAACTGGCCCGTTGTCTCTGGATTTTTAATTACGTCCCATCAGCTGAGAAGGCTCTTGTAAACCTGCAGCTGATTGGTGTTCAGGCTGAGCTGGTCCGTACACATGACTGAGCACCGGCGGCTCTCCGTCTGTTAATGACCTCCGCAGGGAGCAGACGAGCCACAAACACCAGAACTTCAACTTTGATGTTAAAGTCGACTTTAAGCTGCTGAAGTTAGATTTTATGGTGATTTTCTGTTTATTTTTGTGTTTTGTTGTTTTAAAGTTCACGAATGATTGGATTTCGGATCCAGCTACATAATAAAGCACTATTTCCTTCAGCTCAGCTGTAAACATACAATTATAGTGTTTCCACGCACTGAACCACACTGAAGCTGAACCATGGCATCAATGCTTCACCCTGACTCCAGAGCACTTGGACCTGCTTGTGTGCGACGGTGGCTTTGGTTTCAGGCGCTGTTCTGTTCATGAGCCATTTTAGAACATTAAGCATCAGAAGTGACCAAGCAGCCATAAATCAATGCAGGTGTATAAATGGACCTGGCAGTGAGGCTATAGGGCTGGAAACAGATCCAGGTCTGGATCACAGACTCGATGATTGCAGTCCAGAGCTCACTAATGACGGACCTTGACTGGATCACAGAACCGTACGGAGCAGGAGGACGGTGGGAGACGGGCCGGCCTCACTCAGCACTTTGAAAGATCGAACGCTTCTCACAGCAAGTTTAAAATGTACGGCGCAGCTCGTGGAAACTATAAATAGGTCTCTCTTGGTATCAGACCTCTCAGCGACATAAATCCCGTCTCAGTTGGGAAATCCATACTAATGTTGTTTGTGCTAATGACAGAGGAATGGAGGGGCTGCTGGGGGCTGCCAGCCATCACACACTGAAGACAGGCTGATGAAAGATCCTCACTTTAGAGGGTAACGAGCCTGCAGAGAACTGAGCAGCACCCAAAGCTGACAACTATGGGATCCAAACAGACAGCAGCAATGACCCACCTCTGCATGTGTTCTGTTTAACCTGTAGCCCTGCTAGCCTCGTGTCTCACACTGAACACTGCATCCAGCCCAGTCCTCAGCCCAGCCCAGTCCTCAGCTCAGCTCAGCTCAGCTCTGAGCAGCCCAGCTCAGCTCAGCTCAGCTCAGCTCAGCCCAGCCCAGCCCAGCCCAGCTCAGCCCAGCTCCAAGCAGCCCTGCAGTCCTCCAGGCAGGTGGCAGATGGAGTCAAAGACAATGAAAACAATACTAAGCTCTCTGTGCACTGCATTTAATCACATTGTAAATGACAGAAATATTGCTTTTGCTTGCAAATAAATTCACTTAACTTCACCGCCGCCATCCACACAGCGGTTATTAATCCCCGTGCAGGTGTCTGGATGTGATAGACAGCTGCAGGTAATCTGATGTATCACTGTCTCTGGTTTTTGATGTTCTGATGTTTGCATTCAGAGCTTTCAACTGGTTTGAGGAGTGAAAGTTGAGCCGGGTGCCTTGATGTGCGGCTGGTTTGGAATTCTAATATGGAGCTGCTGTGGGATTTTAAGGATGAGTCTCTCTGAAATAGCTTTTCACTTCACTACCTTTCGTCTCAGCTGCTCTCCTTAAGGTGCTGCTCAAACTTTGTATTTTGTTGTGTCTTGATTTTGAGAATATACTTCCCATGTCAGACGGCTGCTTAATGACAGCATCCATGAGAACTGCCTCTGAAACACAACGCTGAGTCAATAATAGTAGACGGCTACTTACAGGAATGAATGATGATCCGCAGAGTCTGATCCCTTTGTGCTGTGCTGATGATGAGGTGCTGATGGTGGTGCTGGGCCCTGGAGTGTCAGCCGTGGTGAACAGAGGGATCCCTCAAGTTCTCTTTCTGAGGAAGGAGAGTGTGTTTGGCGCACATGCGAGCAGCAGAGTCGGGGTGACGACCAGCGGACTCGCTTCACGGCATCCGGTGGGCGCTGTCCAATCCTGGTGTACGGCCGCGTCCTCAGTGCCAGCCCCTGCAGAGACAGAGGAGGTCATCCCTCTGGAAGAATGCTGCTTCTCATTGCAAAAACAAAGGCTGGGATTGTCAAAGCTGATGGCAAGGGGACGGGGCGGAGGGGCAGCCACGGCCAGAGGACTCAGGACAATAGAATAAATCACATAAAAAATGTCACAGCCCCACAAACGGAATTCTTGCTTCGGGATAAAGCAGGATTTGAAAAAACTGAGAGAGCCATGCATGACATGGGGGTTGTTTATCTGAGGCATAAGCAGCGAGTCACATGGCCCAGCAGTCAGACAGTAAGGGCATTTCTATTCATTCTGCTTTCATTTCCTGACAAGCATATGAAAAGAGTGCTTTCTGAATGGACTCCTATGCTTGAAAAGTCTAATAGAGGGATGGGGTAAAAATATGGCTCTAATCTAAAGCAGCCAACAGATGGAGAGGAGGCAGCAGTCTGAAGGCAGCGCAGCTCACATCAGTAACTAAGGAGGACAATAATGGAGGAGGACTGGCATGTGGCTGTGAATTACACCGCTTACAGCAGGTGGTTTAGACAAGTGAGTGAGACTTTGAGCCTCTGGAGGAATAAATCAGTTGAAATCACACCGACTGTACTACAGTCACACAACTGTTTAAGTGTGAGGCAGCGTGACGGCTTGTGGAGGCAGCAAAAGATGCTTCTAAAGCCAGACAGGAACGTTTAGCTAATATCTGTCAGACCATAACTGTGAGTGGCTGAGACAGAAGAATCATTAGTGTCTGCATCAGACTGGAAACGCTGGTACACCTGGAACAAGATCTCCTACGAGCTCCAACACTCTGCTGCAGAGCAACAAACAAAACCCGACATTAGCACAGACACAATCATCTCAGTTCATTTAAAATCTACTTTGATGTTTGTGCCAATCAGGAGCAGCAACACAACAGAATTCAAGATTCATACAAGGTCAGCAGTCAAGGTAGCTGTCTGTGAACATCGTATGGACATTCAGGAATAAAATATAATATAATCTAATATAATATAATATAATATAATATAATATAATATAATATAATATAATATAATATAATATAATATAATATAATATAGGGCTGCAAGGTGGCGCAGTTGGTAGCACTGTTGCCTCGCAGCAAGAAGGTCGCCGGTTCGCGTCCCGGTGGGGGCACCGGGATCTTCCTGTGTGGAGTCTCCATGTTCTCCCCGTGCAGCGTGGGTTCTCTCCGGGTTCTCCGGCTTCCTCCCACAGTCCAGAAACATGCTGAGGTTAATTGGTGATTGTAAATTGTCCGTAGGTGTGAATGTGAGTGTGCTTGGTTGTCTGTCTCTAAGTGTAGCCCTGTGATAGACTGGTTACCTGTCCAGGTGAACCTGCCTTCACCCTGAGTCAGCTGGGATAGGCTCCGCCCCCCATGACCCTAGTGAGGATGAAGGTGGAGAGATGATGGATGGACATAAGTAATAAGAAAAAAGCATAACTTGGAATAACTGTTAACTGGGACTGACAGTCCTGACAGTGTACCTCTACATGCCTGCATAAGTGAATGAAAATAATAAAAAATAAAAGAATACTATTTGGCCTTCAGCAGTTTACTCAGCAGAAATAAAAAAACAAAACAAAATGAAGAAGACATGCGTTCCTGTCGTCCCAGAATGAGTCACGGTGCTCCTATCAGCACTGTGTGGCCTCATCACTGCCTGCAGAGAAACACATCGAGCTCATTTTGATTCATTACTGATGCTATCAGTCCCATTGAACTACTGGTGAAAGCTAAACTATTAGCAAACTTAGAAGCCATATATTGTGCTAAAGAGCGAGACGGAGAGTTCATATTGGAGCTGATCTGCTCAGAAGCATCATGACAGCTGAATGAAGCAGGAGCTGCACACATGCATGTGTTATCCAGCCGCTGTGTGGCGTTTAAGAGCCTGTCTGGCCTCCAGGTGATCAGCAACCACACAAACTGGCTGTTTGACTAAATGGGACATTTCTTCAAGATATTGTTGCTTTTTATTTCTATGCACTAATGTCCTTGACTTGTCAGGGCACAGTCTATCTGCAGCATGCTGCTGAAGCATGACTTATTCTGTAGGTTGAGGAGTGAACAAAGCACCTGGTGGTGAAGATGTGAGGCAGCCGACTGCAAGACGTGAACAGTCTTCATCCTCAGCTTGTTTTCATTTCACACATGCACCGTGCGCCCTCACTGCTCTCTTTTATTGCCTCCTTCAGTGCTGTTATTACCCCAGCATCGAAGGCTTCAAATCACCCAGCAACAATATTTCTTAGTCATTAAACTGTTTATTTGGACATCTATGCATCTGATCACCTCTTTAAGCTCCCCTGCATGCGTCAGCCGTCCCCTGCTGTTAATTCATGCGTATGTTATTAGGGATCAGGATAAGATGGTGTTTGTGAGAAGCTTTGTGAGGAGCTGCAGCGCCATGTGGAATAAAGTGTGCATGTAAACAGACTGGTTGTAAAGGAAGAGCTGCTCTCAGCCAAACAGGCCTCGGTGGATGTTTCCAGCAGAAAGCCGACACGAGGAATCGATCCAGCGGGAATCATTTCTGAACAACCTGTCATTAAGCTGCCTGCTCTCACCTCAACACACACCAGCTTACTGCTGAAATTAACAGATTTATCTATTTATGACCGAAGTAGCATGATCTTCACCATTCTGTCCACCCACAATGCACCAGTGCACCACTGTCTTCTGATCACTGCTGAAGCGCCATTCAGCAGCGGACAGGTGGGTGATTAATGAGATGAAGCTACAGCAGGTTCACATACAGAAGGAAGTGTAGGTGTGCTATTAAAATGCAAATCATTAGTCTCACATTCAATTAATGGATTCTTCAGACGGCCTTGGCAGAGTTAATATTTATGTGATGAAACACTGTGAAGTAGAACTCCTGTAAATCCCACTTCTGTGAGTCCTTTGAAAACCATCTAGGTGATAATGAAGCGCCGTTTTTCTGTGACAGCTCCTCTTCTGTGAGTGTCACTTCTCTCACTTGGTTTGTGTTTTGTAGCTACGCAGTTTGGTTTGAAGAGACTGTAACACAGCACAGGGCAGGCTGCTGGGACGCTTAGCTTTAGCTTTAGCTTTAGCTTTAGCTTTAGCGTAGCGGGAGGCTGGAGGGGACATCAGGGGCCATGTCTGGAGGTCCTGGTCAGGCCTCAGTGATCTACTGTCACCTCTGATTAGATTGATACTTACCAACATCCATCCATCTTCCATCCATCCATCCATTATCTACACACCGCTTAATCCTCATTAGGGTCATGGGGGGCGGAGCCTATCCCGGCCGACTTAGGGTGAAGGCAGGTTCACCTGGACAGGTAACCAGTCTATCACAGGGCTACACTTAGAGACAGACAACCAAGCACACTCACATTCACACCTACGGACAATTTACAATCACCAATTAACCTCAGCATGTTTCTGGACTGTGGGAGGAAGCCGGAGAAATTTAAAATAAAGATAATAATTAGAAAACTAAAGCAGCCGCTGCTGCCTGCTTTCAGCACCACACATGATTTGGTTTGTTCTTCGTTTTGGCAACTGGCATCTGTACAGTTAGTTTTTTTCCTCTGATGTTTGAGTTAAAGCGAACAAACTTTGTGAAACACACTTCAGTGGTGATGGCACAAGCAGCATGCAGGCCAGGATCTCCATTAAAGTGAATTAGTGATGAGTCGCCCTGATGCATGAATCATACGTCAGTAACAGCCTGACTTCACTCATCATCCATGAAGAGGAGGAGACAGAAAAATAGAAATCCATAGTAAAAACAAAACAAACCAGCATATTGTCAGTATTTCAGACCCCCAGAACGTCATGAATCATGTTTCCAGAAGGCCCCTGTAGATCTCACACTGCTACCAAGTCCTGAACAGACCACATCACCAGCACGGCTAGAACACGTTCTAAGTGCTTTGAAGCCTGTTGGTCAGACTTCCTGACAGGAACCACGGACTGAATGACCTGTTAGGAGAGTTCACTGCACGCCAACCAGATGAGAGGTTCAGTCATGATGTTTAGAAACACCTCCTGAACGGTGCAGCGGCATTACGCTGATTTTAGTCTGACGCTGATGATGAATGCAACTTAACGACCAGACTTGTTCGACCCTTCGCTCTCACCTCCCCCCACATCCACCAGAAGAGGAGCTTGTTCTCACAGCATGTCCTCATTTGTCAGGAGGATGCTCCACAGTGAGTCTATTCTATTTGCTATCAGCAGCCATCGTGCCCTCGACAGCAACACGTTGCAACGATGGCAGAAAGAGCTGGACGCTGAAACAAGTGAGGACATGTGGCAGCATGTCGCCCTCCACCCCACCTCCAGGACAGACTTCTGTTGGAAAAACTTGATTCACTTTCTTTATCTCTCCCAAACAGAAGTTTGAACAAACTGGCAGCGAGTTCTGCTGCTGGAGGAGGAAGCATGGCCGGCCACGCTCGTGTTTCTGCTCGTGTTTCTGGAAGCAGCTATTCTAACAATCACCTGGAAAGCCCTGGTTTGTAGGACCAGCACACACCTGCTCTGTCCTGCACGTGTCCCTGATGGGCTCAGTAGAGGTGATGCGCTCCTCCTGAAGATCTGCTGGTAACAAACTCAATAACAAACTCTCTATCAGCATCTACAGGAACACACCATCTGCTTCGTACAGCTCCGGAAAACTTTGAAAAAAAAGGTGAGAACAGCATGTATTCAGCCAGAGAGAGAGAGATGGTTCTGTTCCTGTATGGGCCACGTTTCATGTTTACTTCATCACAGGCTGATGCTTCCTGATCATCTCATGGCCTCATGTCTGGCTGTTTCTGACTGTTTCCTTCATACAGACCTTATTCCTTACTGTTCAGGAAAAAACAGCATTATTATATGTATTTGAGTTAATGCTATGATTTAAAAGAG